AGATAAAATTTTTGTGGTTGGACAGATTTATCCAAGGGTTTATTCGTCTTTTCACGAGCGGTCAACGGGTAAAAATAAAATGGGTCGAGTATGCTTGTTTGAACACTTGTCGGGGGGGTTTTTGTCACTTTTTTTATCCCGGGGGGGTTTTTGGTCTTTAGAATTAACACAGGGGGTGTATTTGCATTTAACTCTAATTTATTCATCTCCCGTACTTATTGATCATTAAAGCGTCAATGAAATTGGTACAATTCAGTTCATCAAAAAATATGGTACGCTTTGTTCATCAAGTAAGTACAATGAATACACACGTGAAGTACACGTGATTCGTGACTATAGTACGCTTTGTTCACTGATAAAGTATATGTTTGCCATTCATATAGTATTGTTACAATCTATATATTATTGTGGGGCCAATGCATCCATATGATCGCATTTTAAGGCATAACTCTTCATTTTAAGACTATTAAGAATGAATAGACACAATTCTTCAGTTTATGGTAAGTTTTTCGTGAATACACATGTGAAGTACGCTTTGTTCATCAAGTAAGTACAAGTCTAGTGTTAACAAGGTATCTTCGAATAGACTAGAAAGTATTTGTTGCTCATTTTTATGGTACGCTTATATTCTTTATACAAACTAATTAATCGCAAAATAAAGTACCATGTGTTCAAAAGGTAAGTACATTTCATAGAAACATATAGTACAATGGAAACAATGGAAAAGTACGAAGCGAGCTAATCAATAGTATTATTAGCTCTACAACAAAAGGACAGATTGTTTATGGCACAAAAACACATTCATCTGTTCATTAATTACAAAAAAACACAAAAACCCCAAAACACTTCCAAGCGTATAGTATTTCCCCCAAACCAGAAGGCCCGATCTTTTACATTGTACGCTTGCATGAGAGACACAACCCTATGGAAGCTGTGGTTTATTTTACGCATGTACATGTAGTGATAGAAGGGATTTTTCTTCAGTAATTCATAATGTTGTTTGTTCATCACTTTTTTCACACCTTCCATGGTTGTTTGAAAAGCGATCGGTGAGCACCTGCAGCCTATTGATAGCTTGCTGCAATCTTCTTTTACATCAATTCCTGCAATTACATACACATAAAACTACAATTATAACAAATACAACGTACTATAAAGTTCCAGATGTCAATACCATCCAAAGTTACTAGTAATACCATTCAAAGGCACTAGTAATACTATTATGGCATATAACTTATACTACAGGACCATCAAACATTAGACTTCTAGTACCACATGTCAATACCATCCAAAGTCACTAGTAATACCATTCAAAGGCACTAGTAATACTATTGTGGCATATGACACATACTACAGAACCATCAAAGATTATACTTCCAGTACCATGTGTTAATACCGTCTGAAGTCAAGAGCAATACCATTATTACATATGACATATCCCTTGTTGGGACTAAATGCTTTCGGGACAGTACTTCGAGTACCCTGTGTCAATACCATCTAAACGCACTATTAATACCATTACTGCGCATGACACATACCCAGTACGAAAACTACAATAAGCCTCTTTCCCATATCCTATATGAAACCCTTGTTAGGACTCAAAATGCTTTGGGGACATGCTAATGTCACCGAAGAATAATACCCATGAGGAAACTGTTACAAAATCATGAAATTCGACAACAAATAAATGATCTTTGCAAACCCAAACAACAGAAAAACAGATATTGGAATCGATTTAATGATTAGGGAAAACACCGAATAAAGTCGAGGCATAATACCCATGAGAGGATATGTTCAAAATCATGCAATTCTACAACAAATAAACCTTTTTGCAAGCTTAAGCAACACCCAAATGGGTCTCCAAGAAAATGAAAGAAAAAAAAAATCAAACCTTGTTGTTTACCCTGCTTCACCATTGTCGAGAAATGGGTTTGTTTATTTTTATTTTTCCTTTCGTTTTATAATTTTTCTGCGTTTTGTTGATTCTTCGTGCTTCGTTGTTTCCTTCTTCTTTGTTGTTTCTTTGTTCTTCGTTTCTTCTCTGTTTAGCTTCTTTCTTGTTGTTTGATTTTTGAAATGTAACGGGCAAAGAGCGTGTAACACAAACGGCGCGTTGGAGGTTGGAAATAAGTTATGTAAAATTAGTATAAAGTAAAGGGTATTTTAGTATTTGCACATTTTATTAGGGACTGAACTGCATGTTAGGCGCGTGAGTAGGGACTGAATTGCTTGGGGAAACTACCTAAGGACTGATCTGTGAGTTGAGTTTTGGATTAGGGATTTATCTGTAGTTTCCCCATTATTTAAATATGGTTGTTAATTACTCAATATGAATTTATCAAGGTTCTACTGTAGTATTTTACGATTGTGACCTAATTTCACTCCGGCATCTAAATTGTGTTAGTTTGAGGAGGATAGTTATAATTTTTTCAACACGAGAGTTTTTTTTTCGTAATTACATGAAACCATAAGGGCACAAATAATAATTTACCCTTATTCATATATAAGTAAATATTGCAATTAATAGACTTTAGAGCAAGAAGCAACAAACTAAGTGAATGTATACTCTACATGCATGTATTTAATGAACTACTACTGTTAAATTTTCAAGAACTGCTATAGCAAAGTAGTATACATTTTTTACAGCAACCATTTGAACTGTAAAGCAGAGCAAAAAACCAACTATTTAAATTATGGTAAATTACAACCACCTCCCTGAGGTAAAGTGTAAATACGAGAAACAAAAAACTTAATTTTGAGAAATTACATCCAACCCCCTACAGTTTGTAAATTTCTTACATCTACCCCCTACAAAAGGGTGTTAGTGTAAGAAACCTACAAATTGCAAGGGGTGGATGAAATTATTGAAAAATAAGGGGTTTTTTTCATAAATAGACCTTACCTCAGGGAGATGATTGTAATCTACCCTTTAAATTAAGATCAGAATTTCATTATTACACAGAGAATGAAAGATATAGCTAGAAAGGAAAAAAATTAAATTAAATTAAAAATCGAAGTACATGATGTATAGTTCAATCTCGACCTGGTATTCGTAAAATGCCTCCAACAGAGTGTAAGTAGCTGAGCTGTACAAATTAATAAATATATGCAACGTCCGTGAACTGGTTAAAGCTTCTTCCTTTTTTATGGTAACTGCAATTTAGACAAAGATACGAATCACAGCTAAAGACGCACGAAAATCACCAAACAAATTTATAAACAGAGGAAAACGAAAGTAATTTAAACTTAAGTTGGCGAAAAACAGTTGCATGATTCTCATGTCTCATCATGAATCCAAGAAGTAATCAAACAGAAGTCAATCATTTCAATGTCCACACAAAAAAAAAAAAATCCCGTCATCTTTTTTAATCACGAAATTGAACCAACATCAGATACAGTTACGATTCAGACATAAACCATTATAGAATTCCAGGTATCATGCAAAAGCATAAGCCCCGAAGAAACATTTGTATCAACAAAATTTGTGGGAGATGATGGCCTTGTAATCATGCCACGATAATTTTTTAAAACCCAAAGTATCCAAAAAAATAAAAAATTAATGTGGGACTATAATAATATACCTGACGGTTGTTATTATGCACATGAAACATTATTTCCCAGTTAAATCCGAATCGGGTGGTCATTTTGAATTTCACCGTCACAAATTAGGTTGTTGCTTGACAGAAACAGGTTCAAGCTTGCGGGTTGCTCCGTTAAACGATTCTATATATATATAAAAAAAGGAAATAATGAATAATTATTGATTGAAGAATAAGAAAATTATTAAATATATGACCGTTGATACCTCTCCAATAAATGAATGCTTTTTGATCTATAAGAATGCCGGTCAGCGTCTGAATAGCATCAAACAACATATCATCCGGCGTCCGTTTCAACTCCTGAACTATCTGATGAATCGTCTTCCCATTCTTGAACCGTATGTGGTTGTTCGGGTGACTCGTCTTAAAACCAGCATGACTCTCAAACTCGTAAGCATTCACTTCCTACACACACAAAAAAAAAATCAAAACAATTTTACGATCATTCCGTAAATATATTCGTATTATTACGGAAGATGAATAAAATAGACGGACGCCTTACTTTAGAGAAGTTACAGTTCGGACATCCACAAAGATAGCTACAGCCTTTGATAATTCCATCAGTTTCCTTAAAACAAGCAAGAAAAAGACCGAATTAGCGAATAAAATAAGAAAACAAAGGGTTATAAATGAAAATTAAAGATTAAATTGAAGATTAAATTACTTACCTTCCCCGATGAAGAAACATATCGAACGGGCACCCTGTCTAGCATGCCAGTCATTGTTAAACTCTTGACATTACTTAGGAATGATTTACTCGGTGCCTTTTTCACGGTTGCTTCTTTTTCCGGCTTTTTCTTGAAAACGGGTTTTGAATTGGATTTGGATTTGGATTTGGATTTGGATTTGAATTTGGATTTGGGCTTGGAATTAGGTCCCCAAAATTTGTTCATGATACCGTGGCTAATTGGTACATCCGTACTTTTTTTGTTCGGTTTTTTCACCGGTGGTAGTTCGTACAGCAAGGCGTAGCTACTAACCGGCCTTTTCAAAGCCTGCATTAAATCTTTATAGATTTTGTCGTCCTTTTTACTACGAAAACGAGTCGTTTTCGCAGCATCGTCAACACACACCACAGAGGTCGAAATCGAACCCGTTATGGGGCCGTTTTCGACAACCGTAACACGGGGTTGTTCTAAATTGGACACAGAGGCGTTTTCACTTCCGACGACGTTTGTCTGATCCGTCGACAAATTTACATTTATAGGTTCATTCACCTGATTATTAACTGCGGCTACTCCAGTTAAACCGTTTTCGTTCTTCAAATTTTCGTTAGTGATTGGAACTTCAACGGTCTGATTTCTGCAGGACGATAAATCGGGACCGATAGAATCCACATGTGCATCGCCAGTTGGCTGCCATAAGCTTTTGTTCTCGAAAATCTGCCAAAATAGAAAGCAAATATTGAATACAAACCGGCATTGGCGACCATATAGAAACCGAGAGTAACTCGAGCACTCTTGCAACAATTTTCAACCGAATCAAACGCCTCAAACTGAACCGCCAAGACGAACTATTACATAATATATCCACAAACCGAATATCACTATAATTTTCGATATTGCCGATGAAGGAACCGAAATTCAGAAAACTGCCGCCTGAATTAAATATCATTATCTCTAGTGTAATTTTTTCATCAATTCCACATTATTAAAAAAAATTTAAAAAATCCAAACAAAACAACAATCAAAATACACACGTTCGATTAAAAATTGAGTAATTAATTTACAACGAAGCTCCGATAATGTACCTTACGCATATCCATGTGATCCATCGCAGCATAAATAATTGGAGTTTACACCTTCGTCTTCTCCACTGTTTGATACCACTCTCTGCTCTAAAAAAATAAATAATTAATAAAAAAAATCATAATTTGGGGACGAAAAATCACTGATAGAAAAAAAAAACGTTGCTGCTAGAAATTTAATTTAGGGTAAATTTGAAGAATAAAAATCGAAAATAGATTTACCTAAGTGTTGATTAAACCTCTTTGTTTCTACGGCTTAGTTCTTTAATTCTGAACAAAGAGAATTCTCAAACCTATTTATACACTCGGGATTTGGGAGAGAAAAATACAGTTTTGGTCCCTCAAGTTTGCATCAATTACATATTTGGTCCTCCATGTTCACAAAAAAATATATTTGGTCCTCATATAGTAGAACTCGATAAACTAATAACCTCGATTAGATAATAGTTTCTCTCGGTCCCGACTCGGTTAAAAAATGTTAAATTATTAACTCGATAATTTAATAAATCGCTAAATTAATAGAATTTTCCTAGTCCCGACCGGATTAATTTATAGAGGTTTAACTGTATTTCAAAAATTCAACACTTTTAGCCATTTTCGTCAATTTTTCCATTAGTACTGACGGAATCGAGCGTTTGCTCATCACTGCCTTAACTGATGGAGTAACGGTAAATTGACGAAAATGACTAATAGTGTTATATTGTTGAAACATGATGGACCAAATATGTTTTTTGTGAACATGGAAGACCAAATATGAAATCATTGTAAACTTGAGGGTGAAAATTGTAATTTTCCCGGATTTGGGACGTTGATTGTGGGCCGAAAAGAAAGATGTTTCCCTCAACCAATCATTGAACGAAACGTGGCTCGAATGATAATTTATACAATTATTTTTATAAATAAATAATAATTTCCTAACTACTGGATTATTGGAGTTAATGTAAATAATAATTTCGTAACCAATCTTTTATTTCTGGATTTTAGTTTACGGGTTACAATTTAGAGCTAGCCCATACCACAAGACATGGGCTTTAATGAACCCAATTCCATTAAAGTTATGAGAAAAAGTAAACATATCCTAGTTCTTACTGTTTAATTAATATTTTAAATAAAAAAATAATATTAATATTTATAATATGAATATTGAATTGGTTAGAAACGTGGTTAAATGGATCATACTAGCAGAAAAAAAAAAGACAATAAAAACAAATTAGACCGTTCAAATTACCGGTATAAATAAGTTGAGCCGGCTCAACAAGAACTTGAACTCAAATTTTTCGAGCTCGAGCTTTCTGAAGAGTCGAGCCCTAGCTTATTCTTAATTGTTTTTGAGCTCGCGATTTTTAATTTAATTTAATTTTAAATATAATTAATAAAAATTTAAGTAATAAATTCATATAAATAACGAAAAAAAAATTACAAGTCATTTTTTTTTCCAAAAAAATAATACTCAAAGAGCATTTGAGCTCAAGCTCGTCAAAATGGATTCAAGCTCGAGCTCGGCTCGCTTACACCCCTAGTTCAAAAGCAATAACCGATTAATCTGGGCCGTTTATCATCAATGGTCATCTAATCTTGACGTTCCGGAATTCGAACAAATAAAATATAAATAAACAATTTGGAACATCATACAATAAACACTTTGGAATGTATACATTACTTGTATTGTATGTATTAATTTAGTGTGAGGTACTAAATGAAATGTTCATGTAATTGTGGTCATATTTTGTGAACATAGATAGGCTTTCATATATAAAGGACAACAAAAACCCAATACATTACTTCTTATTACAAGGAATGATGCAGTGGGTCCTGTTTGGTAACTAAGGAGTCCAGAACTTTTCTCCATCCTTTATAGTCCAACGCCGATCCAGCATCCGGCAACGGAAACCCGTTCACAAAGAAGTACGGTGTTCCATAAACGCCACGTAAGCAACCATACTGCAAACACACAATTAAAAAAAAATCAAGATTTTTAGTATAAAGAAGTCTTGAAAGGTAAATACATTAGAAACAATTATATATCTATCATAAAACCTTGAAAGAAACTCGTGTTGAATGATCCGTTTTCGTGTCGGTGAACCCAGATTTAATTGCAGATAGATACGATTTCCCGATTTCGTTTGCAGTGAACTCGACAATGTGGTTGACGACGCCTGCTTTGGACATGTTAAACGTTGCCTTGCCGTAAAACTTTTCCTGTTCAAAATTTGATCGAATTCCACCAATTTTCAGCCATTTCAAATTCCACCATAGTAATAATTATGTAGTAAAATCAGAATATTTTCTCAATATCAAAAGCAACATTTACGCATTAAATCATGGGTATATAAGTACGATAAATTAATAACGTTGCTTAAATAATAATTTGTTCGGTCCCGACTCAGTAAAAATATACTAAATTATTAGTTCGATAATTTACTATTTCGCTAAATTAATAGTATTAATTTATAGAGGCTCAACTGTATTTAGTTCAATCTTACTTGTTCGTCGAAAAATGCCTCCAACAAACCATAGGTGGCGGAGGCGTTCAACGTGTTAACTATGTGCAGCGCACGTGAAGTGGCGAAAGCGTTGTCGTGGTAACTGTAATTTAAACAAAGTTCAACAATTAGCCACACACACACACACACACACACACACACACACACACACACACACACACACACACACACACACACAATCAGAAAAGCTAATTACTCAATAATCTATCCATCTATATAATATATAAAAGTTGAATTGCATGCCTAATTGATTGACATTTGTCAATTTCAAATGATGACATGTCCTTAATTTCATCCAATGTGGCAAATTGATTGGTGAAAATAAATCATCAAAAAACATGTCACTATTTTCCAAAATTAAAAAGATATTAATTATTTAATTATATTTTTATATCATACCATTTATAAAATACTTTAAATATATCAACTTTATTGGAAAACTCTAAATAGTTTTATTTTTTAATTTAATTTCAATAGTAATTAATTTAATTTAAATTCAATTTAAAATCTTCACCTATTATAATTGTATGATTGACGGTGTTACGAAAATTGTGTATTTTAATTCATAAACTTGGATTTATATAAACAAAATATTGCAGAATAAATCATTTGATATTATACATTATACATGAACATGACCAGAGAATGTGTATCGTAAAAATTTCCCTGATGGTTGCTTCCATCTTACATCGACCCCCTTGCGGTGTGATTTTTCACGGATTTTTTTTTTTATTACGTGGAATATTCACCGAAAATGCAGATTCTACCTTGCACACGATATTTGTTTATGGTACTTTTCAAAGACAAAAATTACCGTAATGGGCACTTTACACGAAATATTTTTTCTTCTTAAAATCTTCACAACTTTTTAGTATTACTATTACCTCCCCTAAAGGTATTTTTTGTATTTAAAAAGTAAGATAAAAGAAATGTCACGTCTGCAAGGGTAGAATCCACATATTACATGGAATAAAAAAAGATTCCGTAAAAAATCACACCATAAGGGGGTCGTGTAAGACATAAACAAACATCTGGGGGATTTTGGTAATTACCGATAAATAGGGGTGCTTTCCGTAATTTAGCCTAAGTTCATGAGGATTTTCATAATTTATCCTATTAACAACGATTATCGTTCTTTTCACGTCTTAATGTTTGCTTATACCCTTACATTATTTCAAATAATTTTAATGTCAGTTTGATAATATAATTAAATATTAATTTCTAATATATTTAATATGTGTTTCTTGATGTATCAGGTACCACACATAAGGAATTTGATATAAAAGTTGCGACATTGAATATAATTGTTTATTATACAAAATAATAGATCATTGCAAAAACATTGATGCAAAATCAAAATTAGGATTGTGATTAGTATTAGCATTAGAATTACGATTATAATTAATATTCTTTGAATTAGTATTGGTATTAATACTATGATTAGGATTCGGATTAATATAGTATTATAATTAATATTAGGATTAGGATTATGATTATGATTAATATTAGTATTAGAATTATAATTAAGATTATGATTATTGATTAGTACTACAATTAGAGACATGTATTAGTATTATGATTATGATTAGCATTAGGATTAGGATTATGGTTAGAATTATAATTATAATTGTAATTAGAATTAACATTAGCATTAGCATTAGTATTATCAGTAGTAAAATTATTAGGATTATAATTAATGTTAGAAATAGGTTTAGGATTAGAATTATGATTAGGATTATAATCATGGTTAATGTTATATATGAATATGATTGGGAATAGGATAAGGATTTGGATAATATTAGTATTACACTTATAATCAACATAAGCATATCCAGATTAACATTAACATTAAAATTAGTATTAGAATTAGAATATGTACATTAGCATTAACATTAACACTATTAACATATTAGTATAAGAAATGGTATTAATATCAGTATTAATATTAGTATTAATATTAGTATTAGTAATAATATTAGTAATAGTATTAGTATTAATATTAGTCTTAATATTAGTGTTAATATTAGTTTTAGTATTAGTATTAATATTAGTATTAATATTAATATTAATATTAGTCTAAATATCAATATCGGTATCAATATCAGTATCGGTATAATTATCGATATCGACATTAGTATCGGCATCAGTATCGGTATGGGTATCGGTATCAGTATCAATATCAATATCAATATCAATATCAATATCAATATCAATATCAATATCAATATCATATCTGTATCAGTACCAATATCAGTTTCAGTTTCAGTATTTGTATCCGTATTAGTATTAGTATTAGTATCAGTATCAATATCAACATTTGTATCAATATCAGTATCAGTATGAGTATGCGTATCAGTATCAATATCAATATCATTATCAGTATCGATATTAGTACCACTATTAGTATCAATATTAGTACCAATATCAACATCAACATTAATATCAGTATTAGTATGAGTATCAGTATGATTGTTAGTACTTGTATGAGCATGAGTATCAATATTAGTATGAGTATCAGTATTGTACGACGAGTATCAATATGAGTATCAATATTAGTATTAGTATTACTATTAGTATCACTATGAGTATCGGTATTAATATCAGTATCAATATTGATATCAGTATTAGTATTAGTATTAGTATTAATATTAATATTGCTATGAGTATCAGTATTAGTGTAAGTATCAGTATTAATATTAGTATTAATATAATATTACTATGAGTATCAGTATGAGTATAGTATTAGTATCAGTATCATAATTATTATTGTTATTAGTATCAGTATTAGTCTTAGTATTAATTAGTACTAGCATTTTTTCCCCGTGCCGATGCACGGTATCGAATTTTAAAAGTGAAAAAAAAAAATAATCAATTTAACAAATTGAATTTCTATCTTTATTTTTTATGATTTGGGATATATTTATGAAAAAAAGGAGGTTGAAGTATTTTTCACGATTTATCAGTTTGATAATTGTTGAAAATATAGTTAAAATTAGTAAAAAACAAAAGTTAAAAATAAATAATTACAGAAATGTCATTAGGGTTTTTTAGGGTTGCCCAACGTTTCTTTCTTTTATATATAAGATTAGTATTACTATTAGTATTAATATTAGTATCAATATCACTATTAGTATCACTATAAGTATCAATATTATTATTAGTTTTAGTCTCAATATTAGTCTTATTCTTAGTATTAGTATTAGTATTAGTATCAATATAACTATCATTATCAATGAAAGTATCGGTGTTATTATCAGTATTAGTATCAATATTAGTATTATTCTTAGTATTAGTATTAGTATCAATATGAATATTAGTATTAGTACGTATTAGTATTATTATTAGTATTGGTATGAGTATGAGTATTAGTATTAATATTAGTATTAGTATCAGTATTAGTATTAATATTAGTATTAGTATTAATATTAGTATTAGTATTAGTATTAGTATTAGTATCAGTATCACTATAATTATCATTGTAAGTATCAATATTATTATTAGTATTAGTATCAATATTAGTTTTATTCTTAGTATTAGTATTAGTATCAATATGAATATTAGTGTTAGTATTAGTTTTATTATTAGTATTAATATTTGTATTGGTAAGAGTATGAGTATTAGTATTAGTATCAGTATTATTATTAGTATTAGTATTACTATTAGTATCACAATTAGTATTAATATTTGTGTTAGTATCATTATTAGTATCGGTATTAATATTATATTAATATCAGTATTAGTATTAGTGTTAGTATTGGTATTAGTATTAATATTAGTATTAGTATTAGTATTAGTATTAGTATTAGTATTAGTATTAGTATTAATATTAGTATTAGTATTAGTATTAGTATTAGTACCAGTATTTGTACCAATATTAGTATTAGTATCACTATTAGTATTAACATTAGTATTAGTATTAGTATTAGTATTTAATATTAGTGTTAGTATTAGTATTAGAATTAGTATTAGTATTAATATTAGTATTAGTATTAGTATTAGTATTAGTATTAGTATTAGTATTAATGTTATTAGTATTAATATTAGTATTAGTATTAGTATTAGTATGAGTATGAGTATCAGTATTAATTGAATTAGTATCACTATTGGTAACAATATTGGTATCGGTATTGATATCGGTATTGGTATCAACATTGGTACCAGTACTGATAGTGGCATATACATCATATCTCTTTTGCTATATTTATAAGTTTTATTGTTGTTTGAGTAATGTGCATCACTAATTGAACGCCATTAGTCATAAACTTGCAAATTATTTGAATATCTATTGTGTTACTTCTCTGCTACCGTGTTGTTACCTTAGTTATTTTGCAGAAGATTCACATGTTGTAGTAGATTGCAATCCAAAAAATAGAGTTATACCATATGTTTTAAATGATTTCACTTAATCTTGATATCGTGTTTTGCGCGTTTCATGCTTTCTTATTTGTAATATATAACTTAATTTTATATGTTACAACTCTAAATTAAGAGATAAAGTTTGTTTTTTTATTTCCTTCCATTTTGTTTTCCTTGAATTGGTATTGTTATAAAGAGATAGTCGTTTACATAACTTTATTTTTCTTATTGTGAAACTGACCTCCGTGCAACGCACGGGTGAAATACTAGTTTTTATAAACAGAGGAAAGTGAGAACCAATTTCAGCTTAAATTGGGGGAAATTATAAATATAAATAAATAAAAGTCGCCCAAACAAAAAAAATTAATCGAGTAAAACCTAATCCCTAATTTCAGATGATTAGAATTAAACGGATTTAAAAAAAAAAATTGCAGTAATGATTAGAGAAATTACTTACGGCAAAGGGAAAGTGTGAAGAACAAGGGTTACAGTAGCGCCGTAGTGGCGAAGGGCTTTCTTCAGAGGCGGCCATGAATCGCGGCTGTCGGGGCAAACCGGGTCGAAGAAAGCCTCGATCAGTACTTTCTCCGCCGCCGCCGTGTTTCCGCCGTACCAGAATCCGTCCTGCTTCGCCGGCACTACGGACTGGCCTGCTATCGGAGAAAACAAACACAGCAAGGTAGAAATCGCGAGAATTATTGATTTATTATTCGTCATATCCATATTTTTTTTTTCTTCTCGAATCTGAGCTACAGCTACCTCAGATATTTTTCTTCCATTTTTGTTCTGATTTATAATATAGTGATGTAGTGGAGCGGTGCAGCAGTGAGAGTGGACTTGTGGGGTAAGATATAAAGTGTGGTTACGTGAAAGTAATCTCTTTTTTAATGATAGGATTACCGAATTTAATTATCATTTAATCTAATAATTACTGCGCTTGATGCTCACCGGAATTTGAAGTAAAGAAAACGCGATTCTGACGTAAAGAAAAAGGATTTTCTATTTTTATTATAGTTTTTCTATTTTAAAATCGCCAATGGCCCAATACATATCATCTGATAATACGTTTAAAATAGAATAAATAAAACAAAATAAAATAAAATCACCCAAATGTTTTTGTTAATGAGGTCATTATTGCAACAGATTCGCCACGCTACATACAGCTATTTACATTATTTAGTAAATAGCACTTTCTTGATTTACTTTTTTCATTTTT